AATATTACACTGTATGTTAGCTAACTAGAATTTTTTTAAAGATTATTTATTTATTTATTTAACAGAGAGAGAGAGAGAGAGAGAGAGAGACAGCAAGAGAGGGAACACAAGCAAGGGGAGTGGGAGAGGGAGAAGCAGGCTTCCCGCCGAGCAGAGAGCCCGGCATGGGGCTCAATCCCAGACCCTGGGATCATGACCTGAGCCGAAGGCAGACACTGAACCAACTGAACCACCCAGGCATCCCACTAACTAGAATTTAAATAAAAGTTTAAAAAAATAAAATCATCATATTAATAGAAAAAAGTCTCTTTATAGAGACCACTGTTAAAGATGGAGATTGCCTGAATGTGGCAGGAGAAAGGAGTGGAAATGGAGAGGTCATAAAGATTTTAGAAAGATTTAGGAAGTGAAATCAGCAAACCTTGGTGATTGATTAAAAATAGATTATAAGGGCGCCTGGGTGGCTCAGTTGGTTAAGCGACTGCCTTCGGCTCAGGTCATGATCCTGGAGTCCCAGGATCAAGTCCCGCATCGGGCTCCCTGCTCAGCAGGGAGTCTGCTTCTCCCTCTGACCCTCCCCCCTCTCATGTACTCTCTCTCTCTCTCATTCTCACGCTCTCAAAATAAATAATAAATAAATCTAAAAAAAAATAGATTATAAGATGAGTCAAGATAAATCCCAAGTTTCTTATCTGTATTTTGCATTTTGGCCTAGTTAATAAACATTTGTTTAGTGTCAATTTTATGTATAGCTGAGAACTTCTAGAGAACCAAGATGTAAGATGTGGTATCCAAGAAGCATAAAATAGTAAATAAATACAAGAAGCATGAATACCTTATGCCATATGCAAATGCAAATTAAGTTGTTACCTACCAAATACTTAATTTCAAAGAAAATGTAGGGTTGTTCAAGGAAGCTTCCTTGAATAAATGAACTTTTAGCTAGACTTTGAAAGAAAAAATGGTCATTTAATTAGGGGAGCTTATAATTTCTAGGAGGGAAATGGCAAGTGCAAAGGCAAGAATGAACTCAGTCATGGAAAGAAGAGTTACATATGACTCCTTCAGGGCCAGATAATTAATATTTTAGGCTTTATGGGTCATGCAAAATTTGTTTCATGGTCTTCTTTTGTTTTGTTTTTGTTTTATAACATTTTTAAAATGTAAAAACCATTCTTATCTTGCAAGCTATACAAAAACATGCCATGGGGTCTATATGACCCACAGGCTGTTTGTCAAATCCTGGATTAGTTCAGTGTAATGACCAGTCTGAATGAAGTTAATCACTTCTGTCACTCCAAGGGCAGGGTTCTCAATATTTTTAGATTATGAATCCCATAGGAATTCTGTTGAAAGCTATGGATCCTCTCCATGGAAAAATGTAGGGCTACTCACACACACACAAACACAACTTTACATATTATTCCATGGATCCTAGGTAGCTCAAGAACTTGTCATTTAACTTTGGTTTTTTATATTGTTTGCAAAACAGGTTTTTATTTTCATATAAACAAATTTATCTTTTGTGCCTTTTGTGTCATATTAAAATGTCCATTCCTACCTCAATGTTGTCAATGTGTATGTAATAGGTTTTTTTTAAGTTTTTATTTATTTGAGAGAGAGAACACATGAGTGGGGGATGGGCAGAGGGAGAAGCAGACTCCCCATTGAGCAGGGAGCCTGACACAGGGCTCAATCCCAGGACCCTGAGATCATGACCTAAGCCTAAGGCAGATGCTTAACTGACTGAGCCACACAGGTGCCCCAATGTGTAATAGTTTTATATTTTATTTATTTTAATATTTCAAGTTTTTACTTAAATTTTAGTTAACATATAGTCTAATGTTAGTTTCAAGAGTAGAATTTAGAACACCCAGTGCTCATCACAAGAGCCCTCCTTATTACCCATTACCCATCTATCCCATCCCCTACCCAACTCCCTCCATCAACCCTCAGTTTGTTTTCTATCGTTGAGAGTCTCCTATGCATTACCCCCCTCTTTTTTTCCCTTTCCCCTATGTTCATCTGTTTTGTTTCTTAAATTCTACATATGAGTGAAATCATGTGGTATTTGTCTTTCTGTGACTGACTTCCTTCACTTAACATGATATATTCTAGCTCCATCCACATGGTTGCAAATGGCAAGATTTCATTCTTTTTGATAGCTGAGTAATGTTCCATTTTATATATGTACACCATATCTTCTTAATCCATTCATCAGTGCATGGACATTTGGGCACTTTCCATAATTTGGCTATTGTAAATAATGTTGCTGTAAACATTGGGGTGCATGCATTCCTTCGAGTTAGTCTTTTTGTATTCTTGGGGTAAATTCCTAGTAGTGCAATTGCTGGATCATAGGGTAGTTCTCTTTGTAAATTTTGAGGACACTCCATACTGTTTTCCAGAGTGGCTGCACCAGTTTGCATTCCCATCAACAGTGCAAGAGGTTCCCCTTTTTCTACATCCTCACCAACGTCTCATGTTTTCTGTGTTGTTAATTTTAGCTATTCTGACAGGTATGAGGTGATATCTCATTGTTTTGATTTGTATTTCCCTGATGCTGAGTGATGTTGAATATCTTTTCATGTGTTTGTTAGCCATCTGTATGTCTTCTTTGGAGAAATGTCTATTCATGTCTTCTGTCCATTTCTTAACTGGATTATTTGTTTTTTGGGTGTTGAGTTATGTAAGATCTTTATATATTTTGGATATTAGCCCTTTTAGGCTATATCATTTGCAAATCTCTCCTCCCATTCTGTAGGTTGCCTCTTAGTTTTGTTAATTGTTCCCTTCACTGTGCAGAAACTTTTTTATTTTGATTAGTCCCAATAATTTATTTTTGCTTTTATTTCTCTTGCCTCAGGAGACATTTCTGGGAAAAAGTTGCTATGGTTGATGTCAGAGAGTTTACTGCCTGTGCTTTCTTCTAGAATTTTTATGGTTTCAGGTCTCACATTTAGGTCTTTCATCCATTTTGAGTTTATTTTTGTGTATGGTGTAGAAAAGTGGTCCAGTTTCATTCTTCTGCATGTTTTTGTCCAGTTTTCCCAACACCATTTGTTGAAGAAACTGTCTTTTTTCATTGGATATTCTTTCCTGCTTTGTTGAAGAGTAACTGACCATACAGATGTGGGTCCATTTCTGGGTTTTCTATTCTGTTCCATTGATCTCATTGATCTATGTGTATGTTTTTATTTTTTATATTTTAATCTATCAGTAATATACTGTTTTGGATGATATGAATCCAGAGCCAAATTTTCCAAATATTCATTTTTCCAAAACTAGTAATTGAGTAATCTGTCTTTTCTCTACTGTTATAAAATGCCACCTTTAACATACACATATTTCCATGTATACTTGGGGCTGTTTTGGAACTCCATTCTGTTCCCTTGATCTGTTCATCTTACTTTCTAAATGGCTGTAGCTTTATATATAATACGTTTTTTTTTAAATATTTGGTAACACAGTTCCCCCATGCCTTTCTTCCTCTTTTTTTTTCAAAATTATAAGTTTATTAATTCTGAATAGGAATTTTAGAATTAGCCTGTCCAGTACATGAAAATTTCCACGGGAATTTGGATTGAAAGTACATGGAATTTCGTGTATTAATTTGTGGGAGAATTTGTATCTTTTCATTATTGAATCTGCCCATGTTTGAGCATATTTCTCCATTCACATTTCCTTCACATCCTTCAAGATTAGTTTTATAGATTTCTCCATAGTAGTCTTCCACATTTTTGTTTATTCCCAGACACATTATAGCTTTTGTTCCTCTTACAAATTTGATCTCATTTTTATTTACTTTTTCTAAATGAATAACCTGGTATATAGGAAAGTCTTTGATTTTTTGTTAACTTTTTATTTTGGTATAACTTCAAACTAACAGAAGTTGCAAGAACAGTACAAGTACCTCCTTTATATCCTCTATCAAACTAACAGAAGTTGCAAGAACAGTACAAGTACCTCCTTTATATCCTCTATCTACCTGTGTTTCCTTTTAAAATATTAAGGAGGGCACGTACTGCATGGAGCACTGGGTGTTAATACGAAAACAATGGATTGTGGATCACCACATCAAAAACTAATGATGTATGGTGACTAACATAACATAATAAAATTTTAAAAAATTTTTTAATTAAAAAAAATAAAATACTGGTTTCACTCATATGTGGAACATAAGGAATAGCATGGAGGACCATAGGGGAAGGGAGGGAAAACTGAAGAGGGGGGAATCAAAGGAGGAGACAAGCCATGAGAGACTCTGGACTCCGGGAAACTGAGGGTGTCAGAGGGGAAGGGGTTGGAGGGGATGGGTTAGCCCGGTGATGGGTATTAAGGAGGGTATGTGTTGTGATGAGCACTTGGTATTATACACAACTAATGAATTATTGAACACTACGTCAAAAACTAAGAATGTACTATATGGTGGCTAACTGACCATAATAAAAAATTTTAAAAAACAAATTAAAAAATAGAATCATCAACATATTTTAAAAAATAAATAAAATAAAATATTTCAGTAGCTTCATTTTCCAAATTTAGAACTCTGATCTGTTTTGAGTTTATCTTGGAGACTTGGTGGCAATATGAAGTATGGACCCAATTTTATCTTTTTTCCAAATGGCTATCTAGTTGTCCCAACACCATTTATTTTAAAATTCATATTTTTCCCAGTGATTATAGCTGTCAGTTTATTAGATACCAAATTTCTGTACACATTTAGCTATATTTTTGGACATTTTATATTCTTTTGTGGTTTTATCTGCTGTTCCTATCCCAACATCGTATTGTTTTAATCGTAAAGTTCTACAGTATGTTTTGTATTTGGTAGGGGGCTAGTGTTCCCCTTAGTGCTCATGCTTGTTTCTTGGTAGAAGACTTTTTGAAGGAAGTTTTCTGACTACTGATAGTTTTTAAATTTTCCTAAATAAATATTTATTTTTATAAAATAATGTAAAATAATATAATAAATAATATAAAACAATGCTTTTCCCTAGAACTGCAATATGCAAACACCGTGATGCGCTTTGATTATGTCTGGCTTCGAGACCACTGCCGCTCAGCATCTTGCTACAACTCTAAGACTCACCAGCGCAGCCTGGATACTGCCAGTGTGGATTTATGCATCAAGCCAAAGACCATTCGTCTGGATGAGACCACACTCTTTTTCACTTGTGAGTACACAAGAGACTTGGTCTTGGTTGGGGTACTCTTCTAAAGAACAATTATTTTGCAAAAACTGGTTTGCCCCGTTCCAAAATAGGGGATTCTGTTTTTTTTTTATTGAGGTATAATTAACATACAGTATTTTATTAGTTTCAGGTGTATAGCATTGATTTGACAATTCTGTACATTACTCAGTGCTCACAGTGATAAGTGTAGTTACTGTTTATGACCATACAATGTTATTACAATATTACTGACTATATATTCCCTATATGATACCTTTCATCTCTGTGACTTAATTTTATAACTGGAAACTTGTACCTCTTAATCCTCTTCGCCTATTATGTCCCTCTTCCCCCCCCCCCGCCCCGCCACAGAAGCCACCAGTTTGCTCTCTTATTTAAGATTCTGGGTTTTTGTTTGTTCATTTGTTTTGTTTTTTAGATTCCACATATAAGTGAAATCATGTGGTATTTGTTTTTCTGTCTGATTTATTTCACTTAACAGATACCTTCTAGGCCCATCCATGTTGTAGCACATGGCAAGATCTCATTCTTTTTATGGCTGAGTAATATTCCATTGTGTGTATATATCACATCTTCTTTATCCATTCATCTGTCTATGGTCACTTGGGTTACTTCCATATCTTGGCTTTTGTAAAGCTGCAGTAAACATAGGGGTGCATATATCTTTTCAAATTAGTGTTTTCTTTGGGTAAATACCCAATAGTGGAATTATTGGATCGTATGGTATTTCTATTTTTATTTTTTGAGGAACCTTCATACTGTTTTCCACAGTGGCTGCACAAATTAACATTCCCACCCACAGTACATAAGTGATCCCTTTTCTCCACATCCTCAGCAACTTGTTATTTCTTGTCTTTCTGATACTAGCCATTCTCACATGTAAGGTGGTATCTCATTGTGGTTTTGATTTGCATTTCCCTGATAATGACTGATGTTGAGCATCTTTTCATATGTCTGTTGGCCATCTGGATGTCTTCTTTGGGGAAAAATGTTTATTTGGGTTCGCCGCCCATTTTTAGTCAGATTATTTTTTTTTCATGTTGAGTTGTGCAAGTTATTAATATATTTTGGATATTAACCCTTTATTATATATGTCATTTGCAGATATCTTCTCCTATTCACTGGGTTGCCTTTTTGTTTTATTGATGGTTTCCTTTGCTGTGCAGAAGCTTTTTATTTTGATGTACTCCCAATAGTTCATTTTTGCTTTTGTTTCCCTTGCCTCAGGAGACATATCTAGAAAGAAGTTGCTACGGCTGATGTCAAAGAAGTTACTGCCTCTGTTCTCTTCTAGGATTTTTATGGTTTCAGGTCTCACATTTAGGTCTTTCATCCATTCTGAGTTTATTTGTGTAGGGTATAAGAAGGTAGCCCAGTTTCATTCTTTTGCATGTATCTGTCCAGTTTTCCCAACACCATTTGTTGAATAGACTTCTTCCCATTGGATAGTCTTTCCTGCTTTATCAAAGATTAGTTGACCATAGAGTCGAGGGTCTATTTCTGGGTTCTCTATTCTGTTCCATTGATCTAGTATCTGTTTTTGTGCCAGTACCACATCATTTTCATTACTACAACACTGTAGTATATCTTGAAATCTGGGATGGTGATACCTCCAACTTTGCTCTCCCTTCTCAGGATTGTGGTGGCTATTCAGGGTCTTTTGTGGTTTCATACAAATTTTAGGATTATTTGTTCTAGATCTGTGAAAAATGCTGTTGGTATTTTGATAGAGATTGTATTGAATCTGTAGATTGGTTTGGGTAGTATGAACATTTTAATAATATTAATTCTTCTAATCCATGAATATTAGATTTCTTTCCATTTTTTTGTGTTGTCTTCAGTTTCTTTCATAAATGTCTTATAATTTTCAGGGTATAGGTTTTTAATCTCCTTGGTTAAATTTATTCCTAGGTATTTCATTCTTTTTGGTTCAGTTATAAATGGATTGTTTTCTTCATTTTTCTTTCTGCTACTTCATTATTAGTATATAGATACACAACAGATTTCTGTATATTAATTTTGTATCCTGCAACTACTGGGTTTATTTCCAGAATAAATGCATTTCTTTGCAATTTCTTGTGAATGTATAATTATTTCAAAATAAAAGTTAAAAGAAAAAAGCATTGGAGGAAAAGATATTTACAATCAATACATTTGACTACTGATTTCTCTACAGTAAAAAAACACATGCCATAGAAAAGTTTATTAAAAAAAACTGACTTGGCAAAATATTTGAAAAATGTATGACAAAGACTAAAAACCATTAATATATAAGGTGTTATTGCCAGTTTGTTAAAAAAAAGCACTAGTATTTCAGTAGAAAAATGTGAAAAAGTAGTGAACAGGCAGATCATTAAAGCATGAGTCAGCAAATATTCTGTAGAGAGCCAGATAGTAAAGATTTTTAGGTTTTGCTGGCTGTACAGTCCCTGTCACAACTGTTCAACTATTTAGTGCTTCAGTAGTAGGGTGAAAGCAGACATAGACAAGAAGTAACCAAGTGGGTATCATGTGTTCTACAGTAGGTGTCACAAAGACAACTGCCAGGCAGATTTGGCCCATGGGCCATAGTTTGGTAATCCTTGCATTTAAAAAACATATGTCTGTACAGTGGCTAATAGACACGTGAAAAATGCTCAATGTCACTGATTATTAGGGAAATACAAATCAAAACTACAATGAGGTATCACCTCACACCTGTCAGAATGGCTAAAATCAACAACACAGAAAACAACAGATGCTGGCAAGGATGCGGAGAAAGGGGAACCCTCCTACACTGTTGGTGGAAATGCAAACTGGCGCAACCACTCTGGAAAACAGTATGGAGGTTCCTCAAAAAGTTAAAAATAGAAGTACCCTACTGCCCAGCAATTGCACTACTAGGTATTTACCCAAAGGATACAAACATAGTGATCTGAAGGGGCACGTGCACCCCAATGTTTATAGCAGCATTATCAATAATAGCCAAACTATGGAAAGAGCCAAATGTCCATGGACAGATGAATGGATAAAGAAGATGTGGTATATATACACAATGGAATATTACTCAGCCATCAAAAAGAATGAAATCTTGCCCTTTGCAACAACATGGATAGAGCTAGAGTATATCATGCTAAGTGAAATAAGTCTGTCAGAGAAAGATAATTATATGATTTCACTCATATGTGGAATGTAAGAAACAAAACAGATGAACATAGGGGAAGGGGAAAAACAGAGAGAGAGAGACAAACCATAAAACAGACTCTTAACTATAGAGTACAAACTGAGGATTGCTGGAGTGGAAGTGGGGAGATGGATTAAATGGGTGATGGGGATTAAGGAAGGCACTTGTGATGAGCACTGGGTGTGATATATGAGGGATGAATCACTAAATCCTCCACCTGAACCTAATATTACACTATATGTTAACCAACTGGAATTTAAATAAAAACTTGAAACAAAATAATAAAAATAAAAAACATGTCTAACAAATATAAATGTCTAACAAATGTTATTAGCTTATTAGTAAGTGAATAAATTAAAATTATTACAGTAAGAGAAGTTTTACTTACCAAATTGGAAAAAATATATTTAAAAAATAAGAATACTCAGTTTTGATCGGCGCACATATATTGTTGGAGAGAATGAAAATTAGTAGACTTTCTAAAAAAGTAATTTAGTTAAATGCATCAAGACTCTTAAAAGTTTATATCTTTGGATTTAACAATCCCACCTTCTGTGTTTCTATTTTAAGAAAATTATCAGAAATATGGGCGCCTGGGTGGCTCAGTCATTAAGCGTCTGCCTTCGGCTCAGGTCGTGATCCCAGGGTCCTGGGATCAAGTCCCACATCAGGCTCCCTGCTCGGCGGGAAGCCTGCTTCTCCCTCTGACCCTCTCCCCTGCTTGTGTTCCTGTTCTCGCTGTCTCTCTCTCTCTGTCAAATAAATAAATAAAATCTTTTTTTAAAAAAAGAAAAATATCAGAAATATAGACAAGTGGGGCACCTGGGTGGCTCAATCAGTTGAGCATCTGGCTTTTGGTTTCGGCTCAGGTCATGATATCAGGGTTGTGAGATCGAGCCCCACACCTGGCTCCACACTAAGTGCAGAGTCTGCTTTGGATGCTTTCTCCCTCTCTGCCCCTCCCTGCTGGGCTCTCTCTCTCTCCTAAAAAATAAATCTTAAAGAAAAAAAAAAGAAAAGAGGGGAACCTGGGTAGCTCAATCCATTAAGCATCCGACTCTTGATTTTGGCTCAGGTTGTGGTCTCAAGATTGTGAGATCAAGCCCTACATGGGGCTCTGTGCTCACCACAGAATCTGCTCAAGATTCTCTCTCTCCCTCTGTCCCTCCCCCCACTTGCATGTTCTCTCTCTCTCTCTAAAATAAATAAATAAATCTTTGAAAAAAAGAAAAGAAATATAGACAAGGATGATCACTATTAAATAATAAGGAAATTAAAAAAAAATAAGACTACATGCCCTAGAACAGACTGGTTAGGTAAATCTTGGTAGTCAATATTCTGCAAATTATAAGAATTAATTTTTATGAAGATTTAATTTTTTTAAGTTTTAATTTAAATTCCAGTTGGTTAACATAGTGTAATATTAGATTCTGGTATAGAATTTAGTGATTTAACACTTGCATACAACACCTGGTGCTCATCACAAGTGCCCTCCTTAATACCCATCCCCTATTTCACCCATCCCCCACTCACCTCCCTTCTGGTAACCATCAGTGTGTTCTCTATAGTTAAGAGTCTGTGAATTTAAGAAACAAAACAAACGATCATAAGTGAAGATTTAACTTTTTAATGATATAATGACTATTAAAATATTAAGTGACAAAGGCAGGGTACAAACATATATATACATATATATATAAATATATATATATTATATAAAGTAAAAGAATGCATGGAAAAAAGTGGAAGGAATGATGACAAGCTATTAATAAGGGTTTATCTGTCTGGTGGAATGGTAAATATAAGTGATTTTTAAAAATATTCTCATACTGGGGTGCCTAGGTGGCTCATTTGGTTAAGCGTTAGACCCTTGATTTTGACTCAGGTCATGATCTCATGGTGGTGAGATCAAGCCCCATGTCAGGCTGCACGCTTGGCCCCTCCCCCCACTTGTGCACTCTCTCTCTCTTTCTAAAATAAATAAATCTTACTAAGGAGAGCACATGTTGTGAGGAGCACTGGTGTTATACGCAACTAATGAATCATTGAACACTACATCAAAAACTAATGATATACTATACAGTGGCTAACTGAACATAATAAAAAAATTTCCTCACACTTTTTTATGCTTTACAAATTCCTTATGGTACTTTTATTGTCAAGGAGTAGGAAGCCAAAACAGAGATTGAGAAGTAAAAAGAAGTGAAAGAAGAGATAAGATGCCAGCAAAGCTTTTCACTCCCCTTGCTATATATCCTTTGCTTATCCTGAAGATTTCCTAAAGCATTTTGGAGGGAGGATTTTTTTTTTTTGCCTTTTGTTTTTTTGGCGCTGTGGGCAGTCATTTATGAAATCACTTTATCATGTTATATTGATGTCATTTAGGTCAAACTGCCCCAATTCATTTAGTCCCTTCTAGTTGGTGAGATTTATTTGTTCATTCATTCATTAGCTCATACTACTCAACCTGCAAATACTTCTGGTTCAGGAATATCCTAGGCACTCATTTTAATTTCATTTCATAAACAATATAGCACTGGGTAATTTGTTGCTAAAAATAACATTCTTAACCAGTAAATTATTGGCAGTAATTATAACTATTATTTTAATACCTTTTATTTTCCCCTTTAAAGGGCCAGATGGTCATGTGACTAAATATGATTTGGATTGGCTGGTGAGAAACAGCTATGAAGGGCAGAAACAAAAGGTCATCCAACCTAGAATCTTATGGAATGCTGAAATCTATCAGCGAGCCCAAGTTCCATCTGTAGATTTCCAAAGCTTCTTAGAAACCAATGAGGGATTGAAGAACTTTCTGCAAAATTTTCTGCTATATGGAATTGCATTCGTAGAAAATGTCCCTCCCACTCAAGAACACACAGAGAAGTTGGCAGAAAGGGTCAGCTTGATCAGGTAATTTATTAGTTTCTAATATCTATGGTAATTAATTTGCAGAGTGTCAACACCAGTAAAATAATTTAACAGGGTATGGTCACACTGTTTTTGATCCAGAATATTTTGTGTCCTGAATAAGGGGATTCCCATTTATAGTGCTTTATTTGAGGCCCAGATTTCTAATCTCTGAAGACACTTACATGTTAAATATGATGACTTCAGAGTCATTGGTATATTTTTTGAGCCTAGTGGTCCTCAAAGTAACAGGTATCGTTATACACTAGAAATAGCACTGACTTTGAGTAAACAGAGCCAGGCAGTAGTCTAAGTTCTACCCTCAAGCAATTGTGTGAACATAGACAACTCCATTACATACATACCTGTACCCTCCACCTGCACCCCCTGGCCTCAATTTTCCCATCTGATCAATAAGAGGATTGAATAAGATGGTGTCTAAAGATCATCCAGTTTTGACCTATTATGATTCCTAAGGCTTGATTCAGACACTAGTTGTTAATAATATTGCCTTACACTATATAGCATTTAACCAACATATTCATGCCCATTACTTTCTTTTGGTCATTATAGAAATCCTGATGGGTGTATATTTTATCCCCTGTTCTGCTGATGAGCCACTTGAGACACATATAAGTAAGTGGCTTGCCCAGCATTACTCTGCTAGTAAGAAGTAGAACTGGGATTCAGTGGGGGACCTAAGATGGTGGTGTAGTAGGAGGACCCTAAGCTTGCCTCATCCCTCAAACACAGCTAATTAACTGGGTGTTAATTCTGAATACCCAGGAAATTGACCTGAGGACTGATAAAACAAACTGCACAAGTAGAGGGAGAGAAGAGGCCCCATAGAGGAAGGTCGGAAGTAAAGAGACATGGTTTGGGGGAGAAAGAGAAGGCGAGTGCTATGGAGGGGAGGGAGCCCTGGTTGCAGAGAAAAGCAAGAGAGAGTGGAGTGCACGGGGATAAGCACAAGGAGAACAGTTCCCCAAAGCTATTGGCTGGGAAAACAAGAGGGGCCAATTTTCATGAGTTTTTGCAACCAGCTGGGCTCAAAGACTGGTTTTAGAGGTCCACAGGCTTGGCTGGGCTAGAGACCTGAGGGCACTACTCCTGGAGAGAAGGAAGGCAAACAACCCCAGGGCAGACAGTGCAATCTGAGGATTGCCTAAGGCACACAGGGAGAGACTGTTCACTCTTCTTGGAGCACATCTGGGAGAGATGGCTTTGCTTCTCTGGGGACAAAAGAGCCCATAGGCACCATTTCCCTCCCCCACCCCTCAGCATAGGTCCAGAGACACCTGCTGAAGGCGGCTAACCCAGACACTGGCTGTTTAACCTGCTTTGCTCCAAATTCCATGCCCCTGTGCTCAGCCATGACTGCCCTTCTGGGTCAAACCTGCATCAGTCCCAGCGTGGTGAGACCATCCCCCCAAAAGACCAGCTCAGATCCCTACCACACCAGGTCCCTAAAGATTAGAGTTTTAAAAGTCAGCAGGCTTGGCTGGTATAGAGCTCAAAGGGCACTCTGCTGCTCCAGGCAGGCAAGCAACCCAGAGACGCTGTAAAAACACCAATCTAAAAAGTGCCTAGAACACATGAGGGCAAATTATTCACTTTTCTAGGAGTGCTTCCCTGAGAGCAGCAAGCACGAATTCCTCTCTCCGGGGACAAAGGAGCTGGCTGGTGCCATTTCCCTCCCCTGTCCCACAGCATAAACCGACTTCAATAAACAGCACAGTGCCCACACTGGCTGCCTGATCTGCTTACCCCAAGTGCCACCCCCCCACCCCCATACTCTGCTGGTATTGCTTTTTTCCTGCAAGCATGCCTAAGGACCTGTGCAGCAGGCCCCTACCCCAGAAGACCAGCAGAAACCCCTGCATGCACCACGTCTACCGACCATAGAGTTCTGCAAGGCTTCAGTTCTAGTGGAAGTGGTATCAGGTCTCATTTAACAAGCAGACCAGAGCATACCTAGTTAAAACTCACCACATTCTGGCCAAGGTCCAAACACTGCCAACCACAGACAATGAGAAACTTTGCAGAGGACTGACCTGAGGGATAGAGCAGCCAAAACACAGTAGCAGAGTGCATGCAGCACAAACCAGAGACATTCCTTAATGCACCCAGCACTGGACATTATATGACTTCTTCTTCATAAAGCCATTACTCTCAAGCAGGAAACATAACAGGCTTTCCTAACACAGAGAAGACAAAGACCTAGACAAAATGCCAAGACAGAGGAATTCATCCCAAAGGAAAAAAAAGAAAAAGAAAACAAGAAAAGGTTACAGCCAGAGATCCAAGTGAAATAGATATAAATAACATGCCTGATGGAGAATTTAAAACAAAAATCATAAGGATACTCGCTGGGCTTGAGAAAAGAATGGAAGACTTCAGGGAGGCCCTTACCACAGAGATAAAAGAGTTAAACAAACAACCAGTGAGAAATAAAAAATGCAGTAACTGAGATTCAAAACTGGATGTAATGACCACAAGGATGGAAGAAGCAGAGGAGTGAATAATGATATAGAAGACAAACTAATGGGGCACCTGGATGGCTCCAGTGGTTAAACATCCAACTCTTGTTTTCAGCTCAGGTCATGATCTTAGGGTCATGAGATTGAGCCCTGCATCGGGCTCCTTGCTGGGAGTGGAGCCTGCTTAAGATTCTCTCTCTCCCTCTCCCCCATCTCTCTCTCTCTCTCTCTCCCTCTCAGTCTCTCTCTCTCTGTCTCCCCTCTAAAAAAATTTTTAAAAGACCACAAAGTAATGGAAAATAATGGAGCTGAACAAAAGAGAGAAAGAAGAATTATGGAACAGGAGAATAGACTTAGGGAACTCAGTGATTCCATCAAATGTAATAATATTTGTATCACAGGAGTCCCAGAAGAGAGAAAAAAGGGGGCAGAAGAGGAAATAGTAGCTGAAAATTTCCCTAATCTGGGGAAGGAAACAGACATCCAGATCCAGGAGACACAGAAAACTCACATCAGAATCAACAAAAGCAGGGGCACCTGGGTGGCTCAGTTGTTAAGCATCTGCCTTTGGCTCAGGTCATGATCCCAGGGTCCTGGGATCAAGCCCCACATCGGGCTCCCCGCTCCACGGGAAGCCTGCTTCTCCCTCTCCCATTCCCCCTGCTTCTGTTCCCTCTCTCGCTATGCCTCTCTCTGTCAAATAAGTAAATAAAATCTTTAAAAAAAAATCAACAAAAGCAGCCCAACACCAAGGCATAATGTAGTTAAATTTGGAAAATGTAGTGATAAAGAAAAAATCCTAAAAGCAGCAAAACAAAAGAAGTCCTTAACTTACAAAGGAAGACCCATTAGGTTAGCTGTAGATCTCTCCACAGAAACTTGGCAAGCCAGAAGAGTGTGGCATGAAGTATTCAGTGTGCTGAATGGGAAAAATCAGCAACCAAGAATTCTCTATCCAGCAAGGCTATCATTCAGAATAGGAGAGAGAGTTTCCCAGACAAAAACTAAAAGTGTTAGTGGCCACTAAACCAGCCCTGCAAGAAATATCAAAGGATACTCTCTCAGTGGAAAGGAGAAACCAAAATTGACAAAGACAGGATAGGATCAGAGAAAATCTCCAGAAACAATGACAAAACAAGTAATAAAATGGCAATAAATACATATCTATTGATAATTACCTTGGATGTAAATGGACTAAATAAACGCTCCAATCAAGACATAGGGTGTCAGAATGGATAAAAAAAACAAGACCCATCTATATGCTGCCTACAAGACTCATTTTAAACCTGAAGACACCTGCAGATTGAAAGTGAGGGGATGGAGAACCATTTATCGTGCTAACAGACATGAAAAGAAAGGTGGAGTAGCAGTACTTATATCACACAAACTACATTTTAAACCAGACTGTAACAAGAGATGAAGAAGGGTGCTATATCTTAATAAAGGAGACTATCCAACAAGAAGATCTAACAATTGTAAATATCGATGCCCCTAACTTGGGAGCACCCAAATATATAAAACAATAACAAATATGAATGAACTCATTGATAATGATACAATAATAGTAGGGGACTTTAACACCCACTTACAGCAATGACCAGATCATCTAAACAGAAAATCAACAAGGAAACCATGACTTCGAATGACACAGTGGACCAGATGTACTTAACATATATTAGGAACATTCCATCCTAAAGCAGCAGAATACATATTCTTTTCACGTGCACCTGGGACATTCTCCAGAATAGATCACATACTCGGTCAGAAATCAGGCCCCAACAAATACAAAAAGATTGAGATCATACCATGCATGTTTTCTGACCACCACACTAAGAAACTGGAAGTCAACCACAAGAAAAAATTTGGAAAGACCACAAATACATGTAGGTTAAACAACATGCTACTAAACAATAAATGGGTCGACCAGGAAATCAAAGAAGAAATTAAAAAAATACCTGGAAACAAATGAAAATGAAAACACAGTAGTCCAAAACCATTCAGATACAACAAAAAGTGGTCATAAGAGGGAAGCATATAGCAATACAGGCCTACCTTAACAAGCAAGAAAAATCTCAAATAAACAACCTAACCTTACACCTAAAGGAGTTAGAAAAAGAGAAACAAATGAAGCCTAACAGCAGCAGAATAAGGGAAATAATAAAGATTAGAACAGAAATAAATGATATAGAAACTAAAACAATAGAAGAGATCAATGAAAACAGGATCTGGTTCTTTGAAAAATTAATACAATTGATAAACCCCTAGCCAGACTTAACAAAAAGAAAAGAGAAAGGACCGAAATAAATAAAATCACAAATGAGAGAGGAGAAATCACAACCAACACCACAGATACACAAACAATTATAAGAGAATATTACGAAAAATTATATGCCAACAAATTGGACAACCTGGAAGAAATGGATAAATTCCTAGAAACATAAACTAACAAAACTGAAACAGGAAGAAATAGAAAATTTGAACAGACTGATAACCAGCAAAGAAATTGGATCAGTAATCAAAATCTCCAAACAAACAAAAGTCCAGGGCCAGGTGGCTTCCCAGGGGAATTCTACCAAACATTTAAAGAAGAGTTAATACCTATTCTTCTCAAACTATTCCAAAAAATAGAAATGGAAGGGAAACTTCCAAACTCATTCCATGAGACCAGCATTACCCTGAACAGACTCCACTCAAACCAGACACACTCCACTAAAAACAGAATTACAGGCCAATATCCCTGACAAACATGGATGCAAAAATTCTCAGTAAAATACTAGCAAACTGAATCCAACAGTACATTAAAAGAATCATTCACCACAATCAAGTGGCATTTATTCCTGGGTTGCAAGGGTGGTTCAATATTCACAAATCAATCATTGTGATACACCACATTAATAGAAAAAGGATAAGGACCATATGATCCTCTCAGTAGATGTAGAAAAAGCATTTGACAAAGTACAGCATCCATTCTTGATAAAAACCCTCAACAAAGTAGGGAGAGAGGGAACATACCTCATCATAATAAAGCCCATATATGAAAACCTACAGCAAATATCCTCAATGGAGCAAAACTGAGAGCTTTTCCTCTATGGTCAGGAACAAGACAGGAATGTCCACTCTGACCACTGTTATTTAACATAATACTGGAAGTCCTAGACACAGCAGTCAGACAACAAAAAGAAATAAAAAGCATCCAAATCAGGAAGGAAGAAGTCATACTTTCACTATTTGTAGATGACATGATGTGCTATATAGAAAACCCAAAAGATTCCACCAAAAAATTGCTAGAACTGATACACGAATTAGTAAAATTGCAGGATACAAAAGCAACATACAGAAATCTGTTGCATTTCTATACACTAGTAATGAAGCAGCAGAAAGAAATCAAGGAATCAGTTCCATTTATAATTGTACCAAAAACAATAAGATACTTAAGAATAAACCTAACCAAAGAGGTAAAAGATCTGTATTCTGAAAACTGTAAAACACTGATGAAAGAAATTGAAGATGACACAAAGAAATGGAAAAACAGTCCAGGCTCATAGATTGGAAAACATTGTTAAAATGTCTATATTAACCTAAAGCAGTCTACACATGTAATGCAATCCCTATCAAAATACCACACGCATTTTTTCACAAAATTTGTATGGAACCATGGAAGACCCTGAATAGCCAAAGCATTCTTGAGAAAGAAAAGCAAAGCTGGAAGCATCACAATTCTGGACTTCAGGTTATATTACAAAGCTGTAGTGATCGACACAGTATGGTACTGGCACAAAATAGACACAGAGATAAATGGAACAAAACAGAAAATCCAGAAATGAACCCACAACTCTATCAACTGTCAACTAATCTTTGACAAAGCAGGAAAGAATATCCAATGGAGAAAAGAGGTCTATTCAACAAATGGTGTTGAGAAAACTGGACAGCCACATGCAAAAGAATGAAACTAGATCACTTTCTTACACCATACACAAAAATAAATTCAAAATGGATGAAAGGCCTAAATGTGAGACAAGAAACATTAAAATCCTAGAGACAACACAGGGAGTAACCTCTTTGACATTGGCCCTAGCAACTTCTTACTAGACACATCGCCAGAGGCAAGGGAAACAAAAGCAAAAATGAACTATTAGGACTTCATCAAGATAAAAAGCTTTTGCACAGGAAGGAAACAGTCAACAAAACTATAAGGCAGCCTTCAGAATGGGAAAAGATATTTGCAAATGACATCTCTGAGAGGGTTAGTATCCAAAATCTACAAAGAATTGTCAAACTCAACACCCAAAAAACAAATAATCCAATTAAAAATGGGCAGAAGACCTGAGTAGACATTTTTCCAAAGAAGACATACAGATGGCATGAAAAGATGCTCAGCATCACTCATAATCAGGGAAATGCAAATCAAAACTACAATGAGATATCCCCTCACAGCAGTCAGAATGGCTAAAAGCAACAACATAGGAAACAACAGGTGTTGGTGAGGATGGGGAGAAAGGGGAACCTTCTTACACTGTTGGTAGGAATGCAAACTGGTGCAGCCACTCTGGAAAACAGTAGAGAGATTCCTCAAAAAGTTAAAATAGAACTACCCTATGACCCAGCAATTTGCACTACTAGGTACTTATACATAGAATACAAAAGTACTAATTCAAAGGAATACATGCATCCCAATATTTATAGCAGCATTATCAACAATAGCCAAATTATGGAAAGAGCCCAAATGTCCACTGATGAATGCAGAAAAAGATGTATACATACACAATGGCATATTACTCAGCTATAAAAAAGAATGAAATCTTGCCATTTTAGCAATGACATGGATGAAGCTAGAGAGTATAATGCTAAGTGAAATAAGTCAGAGAACGAGAAGTACCATATGATTTCACTCCTATGTGGAATTTAAGAAACAAAATAAATGAGGAAAGGGGAAAAAAGAGAGACAAACCAAGAAACAGACTCCTAACTATAGAGAATGCACTGATGGTTACCAGAGGGGAGGTGGATGCGGGGGATGGGTGAAATAGGTGATGGGGATTAAGGAGTGCACTTATGGTGATGAGCAGTGGGTGTTGTATGGAAGTGTTGAATCACTGTATTGTACACCTGAAACTAATATTACAATGTATATTATCTAACTGGAATTTAGATAAATAATTAAATTTTTAACAAATAGTGTGGTGTAGGGGCACCTGAGTGGTGCAGTCAGTTAAGCGTCTGACTCTTGTTTTAGGCTCAGGTCATGATCTCAGGGTCCTGGGATCAAGCCCCATGGTGTGCTTCCTGCTCAACGGGGAGTCTGCTTCTCCCTCTGCCCCTACCCTTGCTCATGCTGTCTCTCTCCCTCAAATAAATAAAAAATTTTAAAAATGGTGTGGTATGTATAACAGCGCTAACAGAAGATGTTAGTAAGAAAAAAGGGGTGGTGTCTGGGTGGCTCAGTCACCTAAGCATTTAACTCTTGGTTTCAGCTCAGGTCATGATCTCAGAGTCGTGAGATTGAGCCCCGTGTCAGCCTCTGCACTGGGCATGGAGTCTGCTTCAGATTCTCTCTCCCTCTCCCCCTCCACCCTCCGTCTCCCTCTCTCTCTAAAATAAATAAATAAATCTTTTTTTAAGTTAAAAAAAAAAGAACTGGGATTCAGATAGCTCAGGTTTCCTGATCCTAAATACAATGTTGTTTCCACTTCTAGTCTGCGTTTCTAGGTAGTATATAGATTGATCTTCTATAGTAATAAATGTGATGTAAACATACTTTGTTATAGGTAGTATTTTCCTTTTACTTAATAAGAGCCAGATCTAGCTCATTGTGTAGCAAATAGAATGCTGGGTCATTTGCCCTATCCTGGTACAGCATAATCAACATTTTTGAACTGTTCAGTTTCAAACACGTTTTGAGAACTTTCAAGTAAAGGAAGCTGTGCTGGTAAACAATCAATTGAGAGAGCTTTAGAGATTATAGTTCATGAGGAAGACCATTTCCTGTTTGGACTTTGAGGGTTCAGAAAATAAGATGAACTCTAAAAGCTAAAGAATTAAAGTGACCTTTGGTCAGATCTGAGCCACCAGGAAAATAACTATAAAATAAAAATCTATGATGTATACCTTAAGGAGAGATACAACAACAGTGATACAGCATCTCATTAAATACTTGCTATAACATAAACTATCCTTTTCTCTTTTTCTTATTCCTCCATGTCCAAAAGATGGGTGAGGATCTACATTAATCACTTCTAAAAGCATCTGCATAAAGACATCTTTTTCTATGCAGGGAAGGTGAGCACAGGAAAAAACCATGAATGTGAAAGCTATTAAAAGTAGGCACATAAACAGAGGGGGATAATTCCCTAAGCTTTCAGACCACATTATACAGTTGACCTTTGAACAATGTGGGGGTTAGGGGAACTGACCTCCCCCTCCCCGAGACACTTGAAAATTCATGTATAACTTTTGACTCCCCAGAACTTAATTAGCAATAGCCTACTGTTGACTAGAAGCTTTATCAATAACATAGTCAATTAGCACATATTCTATATGTTGTATGTATTATATACTGTATTCTTACAATAAAGTAAGCTAGAGAAAAGAAAATGTTATTAAGAAAATCATAAGAGAAAATATATTTACAATAATGTATTTATTGGAAAAAAAATCCATGTATGAGTGGATCCATGTAGTTCAAACCTATGTTGTTCAAGAGTCAACTCTACTTTCACAGTTTCCCCCCCAACTTCCTAGAATATTAATCAGTGACAGAATTGTTAAGACTGGTGGTTTGTTCAACTGTCATCTACTCCTTATAGGTGGAAATCTGGAGCCAAAAAAATCTGTTGTTACTTTTGAATAATTAAAGAAGTTAATAAAGTTGTGAAAGACAAGAATAAAACTTTCAAATAATTAAGTCTTCCTTCATTTGATTTGACAGAGAAACCATCTATGGGAGGATGTGGTATTTTACTTCAGACTTCTCCAGGGGTGACACTGCATACACCAAGCTGGCTTTGGATCGGCACACTGACACTACCTATTTTCAAGAACCCTGTGGGTAAGTGGATTAGAATTTTCCATATTAGGGTCTTTGCATGTGATGGTCTTGAATAATTTCTTTATTTTTTTAAATTCAATTAGCCAGCATATAGTACATCATTAGTTTCAGATGTAGTATTCAGTAATTTATCAGTTGCGTATAACATCCAGTACTCATCACATCACGTGCCCTCCTTAATGAATAATTTCTTAATCATTTTCCATTCTAATTGAACCAAGATCATATCTGCTGCTGCTGTGTGTGACTATTTCTTTTTCTTCTCTTAGAAACATGATCATTTTGAAATACCCCAGTTCAGTCTTATTTGGACTTACAAGAATAAATTTTTTTGAAATGATTGAAAAATACACCTTACTATATAAATGGATCTTAATTTTGTTTAATTTACTTTTTTGTCAAAGTAATTACCAACAACTTACCAAAAAAGTCTAACCATTAATTTTGGAATTGTACAGTTTTCTTATATTTAGTTATATTGCAAAGGGGTCTGTCTTCTAAACACAGCTGCTTTGGGTTGGTATTAACAGGAATTTGAATCCAATTTGTAAGAAGTTGGAGAGGAGGAATTAGTGAAAAAAACCTTTTTTCACATGGAATCAGAAGCTGCTGAGCCAAAGATATACCTTTTTCCCCCAGCTTTATTAATATATAATTGACATATCACATTGTATAAATTTAAGGTGTACAATGGTTATATATTATTACCACTGTAGCTAACAGAGAGTAGAACTTAAATGTTCTCACCACAAAAATGAAATGATAATTATGTGACACGTTGGATAAATACCATACTTATCTACCATTTGCCACGTATTAGAGGTACCTCTGTAGTTGTTATTTTGTTATTTATCTTGCTTCTGCATTTAGATGATGAGCTGAGGCATAAAGATATTAGTAAAGTGAGTGTACATATGGATTTTTAAAGACAATATGAGATGGTGATAATATGCAATTGATTGTGGTTACATTGACTTTCTTTAAGGGTTTGGAACTTAAGAATATTTGGTTCAGGGAAGGAAGAATAAAGCAGCTTTTAGCTATCCTTGTCAATGTTATCAGTATATGAAGATCCCAACAGCCCTGCATCCTCATTCTAGGGGGTGCAGAAGGAAGAAAGAGGAAATGGGATGGGAAGCATCTGGACAGAGGTTGACATTCAAATATTGAGTAACTCTTTTCTCTTTGACCACTACCAAAGATAAGCAGTTAGTTGTCTCTGCCATTAATTTAAACCTTTCTAATCAATGACAAGGACCAAGTAAGTACATTAGCAGTATAGTAAGAGTGGTTAAGAGTTCAGGCCATGTCATTAACAGATCTGGATCTGCATCCCAGCTGTAACATATATTAGCTTTGTGTTCTTGGACAAGTAACTTAACTTCTCTATGCCTCAGTTTCTTCATCTGTAAAATGGGACTAGTAATAAAACCTATTCATTAGTATTGCTTAGGGATTATATTACATGATGTATTTAAAGCACTTGGCGTAGTGCCTGACACATATTAAGTGCTCAAGAAATACTAGCTATTATTATTATCATCACTTTAGCCATTGTCATCATCATCATCAACATTGTTATATATGCCTTGTCCTTTCAAAAGCTACCTTTGCTCTGGATCTCATCTTCTCCAGCCTCCTTGGAGATTTCTCTCTCCTAAATCTTCACCCTTTCCATACCTATGGACTCCTTCCTATCAGCTTCTCATATCTTCTTTGGACTCTGTCTCCCTCTAGTTACAGCCCTGCCTTATTCCTCCCCTTCACAGCTAAATTTATTAAAAGAATCATCTACGTTCAGTGTCTTTTCATTTTCACTTCCCATTCATTCCTCAAATCCATAGTCGGCTAGTTTATCCAACCCCTCCCAATTAAAATTACTCTCTTTAAGGTCACCTGGGTGGCTCGGTGGGTCAAGTGTCCAACTCTTGATTTTGGTTCAGGTCATGATCTCAGAATCCTGAGATCAAGCCCCGCATGGGCTCCGTACTCAGCGGGGAGTCTGCTTGAGATTCTCTCTCACCCTCTCCCTCTGCCCCTCTCCCACCATGTGCTCACTCTCAAATAAATAATAAATAAATAAAATAACAAAGATAAAATTACTCTCTCCAAAGTCACCAGCAACTAACTTATTGCCATGCTTAGTGTGTACCTTTCAGTTTTCATCTTAACCCCTGGGGCATGCTGTTAACTGCTACCTCTTCTTAAATATCCTTCCTTTTTTAGTTTTCCTCCTACATCTCTGACCACTTTTCTTCAGCATCCTGTGCTGGCTTATTTTCCTCTGTCCATGTCCTAGATATTGTTGTTCCTCAAGGTTTTCTCTTTGTCCTTCTTTTCTTACTTGAAATGATCTCGCCAAATGACTTTTTCCATGCTTTTGGCTTTAGCTATCACCTACAAACTACAAAATCCACCTGTCTTCTGGGTTAAATATCTTCAACTAGCTACTAAACCATCTTGACCTAGAAGTTACACAGAAAGCTCAACAGTGCAGAACTGATGTTTCTCATTTTAATTGTATTTATGTTAGGTTCTCCTTGATTTTATTCCTTCTATCTGCATTCATATTTTTTACTTACTTTACTTTGTTATTTACTTTTATTTTTTTTCTAAATTCCTATTAATTTTATTTTCCCCTTGTTAATTTGAAATTTCTGGTGTAGTTTTCCAGCCCATTAAGTCCCCTTTCCTTTCCCTGTTAACATTTTCAGCCACATATGACTCAACTACTTCAACATGGCCCCTAAAGTGAACTTCTTCCTCAACCCCTCACACCCCCTCATTATGATCAATTACACTTCTGTCTGCATTCTCCCTCTTAACAAATGACAGGTTGCCCAAGTGAAAAACCTGAAGTCATTCTAGATTTTTGCTTGTTCTTTCTCTACTACATTTAAATCAGTTATCAAATCTTGTCAGTTCTACTCCTGTAGTATCTCCTTGGTGTGTCTTTTCTCTAACACCCTTCTCTAAGCTCAAGCCCTCAGTGTTTTTGTCTATTTCAGTTAGCATGTTGTTTGCCACATTTTTTTGTCATCTTGCTTCCCACCAGTCCATCTCCCATACTATCATCATAATCAAGTCTTAAAAATGTTAATGTGACCATAGAGTTTCCCAGTTTAAAATCCTTTCGTGGGTGCCTGGGTGGTTTCAGTCGTTCAGTGTCTGCCTTCGGCTCAGGTCATGATCCCAGGGTCCTAGGATCGAGCCGCACATCGGGCTCCCTGCTCTGCGGGAAGCCTGCTTCTCCCTCTCCCACTCCCCCTGCTTGTGTTCCCTCTCTCGCCGTCTCTCTCTCTGTCAAATAAATAAAATCTTTAAAAAAGTTAAAAAAAATCCTTTCGTGATTCTCTGTGCTACGCTGACAGGAGCTTCTTGCTCTCTTCCTTAAATATACTTTGTAAATAATGTCCTTTCTTTATGGCCCCTCTATATCTTGTATACAACTTAATATAGTGCCTATCATATTTTATTGGTATTTATTTCCTTCATGTTTTCCTACTAGACTATGGACTTTTTTAAAACAGAGACTATATCTTATTCATGCCTGTATTCCCAGGGTCTGGCACATACAGATTTTAATTCATATTGAATGTGTTTAGAAGAAACCTATAGTGGCATTAATATTTCAAAGCACAAAAAAGTATAACTGGCTATAAGGAAAAACAATTAATTTGGAAATGAAAATGATACAAGCAGAGTCAATAATTATTCCATATATAATTTTCTAAAATTTTAATATGTTCTCTTTTCTCCACTGAACAGAAGAATTTAATTTTTTCCCTCTTTAGCATTCAAGTGTTTCACTGTCTTAAGCATGAAGGAACAGGTGGCAGGACACTGCTGGTAGATGGATTCTATGCAGCAGAACAGGTACTTCAAAAGGCACCTGAGGAATTTGAACTCCTCACCAAAGTGCCATTGAAGCATGAATATATTGAAAATGTTGGAGAATGTCACAACCACATGATTGGGGTTGGGCCAGTCTTAAATATCTACCCATGGAATAAAGAGCTCTATTTGATCAGGTGAGTACCAAAGAACCATTTGCCAGTGTAATATATTTACCAATTATTAGCCTTCAAATTATTAGCTTAATGAAAATCCCTAAAATCCTTATATTGACCACATCTTAATCTTGCTATTTTATAGCTCTTTATTAGTACAATTTCTGTTTTTATTATACTTCCCATGGAAAAATAAATAGGCCAACAGGTAAAGAATACTAGATTTGGGGGGCAGGAGATATTTGAGATAGTATTTTAAAATGAAAACACTATTGAAATCAAAAACTGTTATTAAATTATGCTCACTGACCAAAAGCTAGAATACCCAAAGGCATGACAACCACAACATTTGTAGCCCAGATTTATGCAAATCTCCTGACCTGTATATCTAATAGTCCACTAGATGTTGCCACTTAGAGATCTTGTAGGATCATAAAGCACATCATATTCAAAATTGAACTCATCATCTTCACTCATTTCAAACCTCCTCCACACCCAATTGTGAAGATAAAAATAAATTGTTGCTCCTGCCTTTGCCCCCTGGATTGTAATATGAACTACACAAATACTAATTCACTTCCATTGGATAACCTCCTCTGAAAAACTCTACCTTAGTCATCTCTTGTATCCCCATTGCCTAGAACAGTAAGTAGGTATTCAGTATTTTTTCCAACATTTGATTATAAACATTTTTAAATAGATCAAAAAGTTGTAAGCATTTACAGTAAAATCCATAGACCTACCACCTAGATTCTACCAGGAAGGTATTACTATGCTTTTTTTATTATCTGGCTATCTACTTATCTATCTGTCAGTCATCTATCTATCTGTCTATCCATCAGTTAATCTTATTTTTGATGCATTTCAAAGTACATTGTAGCTATGACTACATGTCGCCCTAAATACTTCAGCATTTTGTATCTTTAAGTAGAGTTCAATATCTTTTTATGAATTTTTAACTTTGAAATAAAATTTACATACAATTATTTTTTAAAATATCAAATATACATTTGCTGAGTTTTGATAAATGCATACACCTATGTAACCCAAACCCCTATCAAGATATAGAATATTGCCGTCACTGCAGGAAGTCCCCTTATACCCCTGCCCAGTCCAACCCTGCACACCCACCCGAGATCACTGTTTTGATTTTTGCCACAATAGATTAGTTTTGCCTGTTCCAGAAATTCATACCATAGAATAAATCCATTTTTTTATGAATAAACACCTGGGCTGTTTCTAATTTGTGGTTATTATGAATAAAACTGCCATGAGCATTCATAGAAAAGCATTTTTGTAGATATGTCTTTTCATTTCACTCAGGTAAATAGCTAGGAGTGGAACTGCTGAGTCATAGAGTAGGTGAGTATTTAATTTCATAAAAAAACTGCCAGAACTTTTACTAAAGTAGTTGTTTCATTTTACATTGTCATCAAGAATGTATGAAAGTTATAGCTGCTCCACATCCTTGCTAATACTTAGTGTTGTCAGTCTTATTAGTTTTAGCCATTATGGTGGTTATCTCTTTGGGGTTTAATTTGCATTTTTTTGATGACTGATGATGTTGAGCATCTTTCCACATGCTTATTGGCCATTTATATATCTTCTGAAGTATCTGGTTAAATTTTTTGTCCATTTTTTCATTGGGTTGTCATTATTGAGTTCTTTATATACCCTGGTCACTATTTCTTACCTGATACATGTTTTAGGAATATTATTTTCTAACCTGTAGCTTATGTATTTATTTTTAACAGTATGTTTTTATGAGCTGAAATTTTTTATTTTAATGCAATTTAATTGAGTAGTTTTTTCTTTAATGATTATTGTTTCTATGACCTGTACAAGAAATCTTTGACTGCCCCCATGACATGATGACATTCTATGTTTTCTAAGGGTGTTATAGTTTTATTTTTTACATCTAAATCTGTGATCTACCTCAAGTTAATTTTTTCTGTGTTACGAGGTATAGGTAGAAGTTCATATTTTTTACATATGGATATCCGGATATTATAGTTTCATTTGTTGAAAAGACCTTCCTTTCCCCCATTGGATTCCCTTTGCAACTCTGTTAAAAATCAAATGACCAGTGACACCTGGGTGGCTCAGTCAGTTGAGTGTCTGACTCTTGATTTCAGCTTAGATCATGATCTCAGGGTCACAGGATTGAGCCCCGCATCAGGCTCTGTACTCATCAGGGAGTCTGCTTGTGGATTCTTTCTCCCTCTCCCTCTGCCCCTCCCCCCTGCTTTTGCTAGCTTGCTCTTTCTCTCTCTCTCTCTCAAATAAATAAATAAATAAATCTTTTTAAAAAAGCAAATGATCATATAAATGTGGGTTTGTCTCTGGGAGCTCTGTTTGATTCCATTATCTATTTGTGGTTCCTTATCACAATTCCACACTGTCTTGGCTACTGCAGGTTTACAGTCATTCTTGAAGTCAGATAATATGTTTGTCAACTTTGTTCTTTTTCAAGATTATTGTGGATATTCTGTATTAGGGGTCTACAAATTTTTTTTTTTGTAAAGGGCTATATAGTAAATATTTTAGGCTTGTGGGTAATATTGTCTTTTTTTAAGATTTTATTTATTTATTTGAGAGGGAGAGAAAGAGAAAGCACAAGCAAGGGGAGTGGGAGAGGGAGAAGCAGACTCCCCGCAGAGCAGGGAGCCTGACACGGGACTCGATCCCAGGACTCTGGGATAATGAACTGAGCCACAGACAGTTAACTGACTGAGCCACCCGGGCGCGCTGTTCATATGGTCTTTATCACAACTACTCAATACTGTTGTGGAAGCACAACAGCAGCCATAAATAATATATAAATGAATGAATGTGCCTGTGTTCCAATAAATATTATTTACAAAAATGGGCAGTGGACTGGATTTGGCCTACAGACCAGTTTGCCAGCCCTGGTTCTAGATTCTTTATATTTCCATATAGTTTTTAAAATCAGCTTGTCAGTTTTTAGAAAAAATGCCTGTAAGTGTTATGATTGGGATTGCTTTTTTAGCAGTGTTTTATAGTATGTATTGAAGATATAGATCTTATATATCTTTTGTTAATTTTATTCCTAAGTAGAGACCATTTTGGTGATAACTAACAGTTTTGAGTCTTCCAACCCATAAACCTCATCTATCTTTCCATTTATTTAGGTCTTCTTTAATTTGATTTCTTTTTAAATTAGCATTGTATCCTATAGGCTTGCTAAAGTAATTCATTAGTTCTAAGTTTTTGTTTTTTGGGTTTCTTAGGATGTGTAGTCTGCTGCTTTTAGATGGAATGTCCTATTGTATCTATTAAGTCCATCTGGTCTATTGTGTCATTAAAGGGTGATGTGTTGTCAGGATAGTTTCATCTTTTTCCTTTCCAATCTATATGTTTATTCATTTGTTTTTCTTACCTTACTACACTGGCTAACACCTCCAGTACTATGAAAGTGTTCAGTATTTTGCCAGGTACAATATTAGCTATAAGAGTGTTGGTCAGGTGCCTGGGTGGCTCAGTTGGTTAAGCAGCCAACTCTTGATTTCAGCTCAGGTCATGTCTCAGGGTCCTGAGATCTAGCCTCACATCAGGCTCTGCACTCAGTGGGGAGTCTGCTTGAGATTCTCTCCCCTTTCCTCTCTCTTTACTCCTCCCCCTGCTTGTATGTGCTCTCTCTAAATTAATAAATAAATCTTTCTTTAAAAAAAGAGTGTTGGTGATGTCTTTTATCTGCTGGATGAATTTCCCTTCTAGGTTTCCTGAGATTTTTTTTTTTAATCACAAATGGGTATTGAATTTTGATAAATGCTTTATCTTCATGTCAGTTACCAATAGAAATAATTATGTCATTTTTCTTCTTTATTAATATGCTAAATTACATTAATTTCAAATGTTAAACCAACCTTATACTCTGGGAATAAACTGTACTTGATCACAATTTATTACTATACACACACACTGTATGTGTGTGTGTATATGTCTGTATGTGTGTGTGTTAATAGTGTGGGCCCAATCGAGAGATAAATACCACAGAGTAGTTTCTTTTTGTTGTTAATTTTATTATTTTAATTGCAGAATAATTAACATATAGTGTTATATTAGTTTTAGGTATACAATATAGAGATTCAACAATTCTATACATTACTCAGTGCTCATCATCAGGGAACTACAACGGCATATCACCTCACACCTAACAGAATAGCTAAAATTAACACAGGAGACATGTGTTGGTGAGGTTGCAGAGAAAAGGGAACCCTCTTACACTGTTGGTGGGAATGCAAACTGGTACAGCTACTCTGGAAGAAACAGTATGGAATGGACGTTCCTCAAAAAATAAAAATAGAACTACCCTATGATCCAGCAATTGCACTAGTAGGTATGTACCCAAAGAATGCAAAAATACTACTTCAAAGGGATACATGCACCCCAATGTTTATAGCAGCATTATTTACAATAGCCAAATTATGGAGAGCCCAAATATCCATCCATCAACTGATGAATAAAGAAAGTGTGGTGTATGTATACAATGGAATATCACTCAGCTATAAAAAAGAATGAAATCTTGCCAATTGCAATGATGTGGATGGAGCTAGAGAGTATTATGCTAAGTGAAACAAATCAGTCAGGAAAGAGAAATAGCATATGATTTCACTTATATGTGATTTAAAGATACAAAACAAATGATCATGGGGGAGAGAGAGAGAGGAAAACCAAGAAACAGACTCGTAACTATAGAGAACAAGCTGATGATTACCAGAGGGATGGTGGGTGGGGGGATAGGTGAAATAGGTAATGAGGATTAAGGAGTGCACTTGTTATAATGAGAACGGGGTATTGTATGGAAGTGTTGAATCACTATATTGTATACCTGAAGCTGATATTATACTGTATGATAACTAACTGGAATTTAAATAAAAACTTTTAAAAAGGGGGGAAAATGTTCCTAGCACTGATGTCACAGAAATTACTACCTGTGCTCTGTTCTAGGATTTATATGGTTTCAGATCTCACATTTAGGTTTTTAATCCATTTTGCAT